TCTAAATAAATTATTTCCGTCGCTTAAATCATAGATTTGCCAAAATTTTGTTACTAATAGTTTTTTCCTTTTACGAGCTACTATACTCGTTTAAATACTCAATTGGTACAAATAAAGCAAGAAATAATGATATAATTTACAATTAGTTCGTAGAACTATTCAGCCGCCAAATTTAACGGCGCTGATATTAAAATATATAAATCTTGTTTATTCCTCTGTGATACACAATGAAGCATATAAAGAAGTTACTCAGAATTATCAAACTATTATAGTAATTATAGATATAAATAGCTTAAACCATTGATTTTGAATGATACGATCAAGTTAGAATATTTAGAAAGAATTAAATAAAAATGTAAATATAAGCCTAAAAAATATCTAAAAATTTATTTTTAATTCTACATTCAAATGCTGGCTCAGAAATGAGTTTAATGAATATGATTAGGCGAAAAAATTTTTCTTCGGTCTCATTTGATTTATTAGAGGCCGAATTAATGGTAAAGCAGAATTTCGACATGAATTGCGAAGAGTTAAAATTTATTTCATATATATTAAACTTTTAAATAAAATAAATTCCTTCCGATAAATATGTAGATTTGGATCTAATTTTTATATATTTTGACTTTATATTCAAATTCAAATTTAAATTTGTAAATTATAATTTGAAAAAAATTATTCACCAATATTTATATATAAAAGGATTGCAGTTGTGGCGCTTTCCCGCTTTTTATCCTTTAGTCATTAAAAATCCCACCTCACTCTTAGAATATGGGAGGTATGGCCGGGCCTAAAAATTTTTGCAATTTACAAAATGAATGAGAAAATTGAATAATACACCTATTTAATATAATTAAAATATAGCCACTTTTTATAATTATTTTTTATTATCCTTCATTTATATATTCCTCTCAAAATTTAGAAAATGTTTTTATCAACCCCCCCCCACCCCCCCCCCACCATTGTCGTGGTAAAATATGTAAAAGTAAATAAATAAACACTTAACCCATTTTGCCCTGATTTCCTGATATTGGAATATCTTTATTTTCTTGATTTGGAACATTTTATATTTATTTTCAAAAAATCCTGATTTTTTTAATTCCATTTTATTAGAAAAAATGAGTAAAAGTGTTTACAAATTGAGTAGAAGCGTTTAGCGATGTTTTCACAAATACGCTATGATTTAAATTGAACTGGTATTATTTTAAAAAATGATGAAAACTATTTTACGTTTTTTAATTTTTTTTTATATTGTTTAGTTTGACTTGTGAAATCAGCAAAAATAAAAAACTAAAATAATTGAAGATCTAATGATTTATTTCCATAATTTATTCTTCATAAATATTACAAATTTATGTAATCTAGAATATTTTGAATTTTTTTTTTGATTAATCATAACTTTGCAGTTATTTCTATTTATTAAAATGCGAATAGAAGAAAAAGGAAAGGTCATAGTATTCAAATGAATTAGTTACTATTATATCAAAGTTATATCGATGTGCATTATCTCAAAATTGTAATTAGGAGGCATTAATTATCAGTAAAATTTTCTATAATTAAAATAATCTGAGAAAATCAATAAAAAATTCTTAGCTTTCAGTATATTTTTTTTATCTAGATTAGAAATAAAGTATTACTTTAAATGACATAAAGCACACTTTTAAATTTTGTGTTGGGGGGGGGGGGGAGGGTTAACTTATTCTGCTAAAAACTTAACCCAAAATGTCCGTTCCATACTTACAACCATGAGTGAGACCAGGAAGACTAATATATTTTCTATCACATCAGATAGAGGTTACATGCTATTAAATAAACAATACGTAATAAAATATTCTTAAAACATTAGCGTTTATGATTTAAGAAACTTCGGTTGGTAAATTGATATTGAATATATCGATTTCACTTAAAATGAATTCACAATTTTCGCGGTCATGTGCTCGTTATAATAATTTCGCGCAAATACGCGGTAGAAAATTAGCTATAAATGGTTCTCGATTAAAGTTTCGCTATAACCAGAGTTGTAGTAGCGCGCTATCTTTTTTGGTAACTATAGCTAATAGCCGCTACTTTTTTTAAAAAATATAATGAATGTAAGTATAAACATGAAAATTTAAATATAATATCATAATTAATAATAATTTTTATAATTTATTATTTAATTTTGAAATTTAAATATATTTTCAATTTTTAATTTATATTTTCAATCTGTGTTAATAATCTAAAATGGCATCGTCCATGGATATCCAAATCCTTGAAAGTGATTCAGATATGGAAGATTTAATGGAAGAAAATGTACTTAATAGCTCTAATAACGTTTTTCCATTCCCTAAATTTGAAAAATTTTTTAAAATAAATATTAAAACAAAATCTGGATTCAAATTCATGTGCTTAAAATGTAAAAAAAATATATCATCAAATCAATCAAGTAGCTATAACCTGAAGAAACACCTAAAGGTAAATTGTTATTTTTACATTATAATATTATTTATTTTATTAGACTGTTCACGCCAATTGCTATAAGGAAATAGAGAAACATATAAAAAAATTTGGTATAGGAGAATCTTCATTCAAAAAGACAAATACTATCCAAACCAAATTAACTGATAATAAACATGCCAATATTTCACAAAAATTGGCTGATAAAGTTATTGTTGATTTTATTATTGACACAGTTCAGCCAGTGTCTTTGGTTGATAATCCATCATTTACTCTGATGATTAAAACTTTATCCCCTGGCACAACAGTTTTATGTCGCCAGACACTTATGAATAAAATAGCCGACAACTTCAAAGTGATGATAGATGCTCTAATAGTAGAGTTATCAGATATATCTTATGTATGTACCACGGCAGATAGTTGGACACATAACAGAAGGTAAAAACTTATTTATATTTATAAATTGATCTGATTAAATATTTTTAGAGCTTATTTGGGAATCACAGGCCATTGGTTAGACCCTAGGACTTTAAAAAGAAGATCTACTCCAACAAACATAGATTGCCGAGTATCTACCACGAAGACAACCTCAAATAATTTTTTTGAAATTAAAGATGATTTAATAGAAAATCCAATTGATCTTTTTTTTCAATCAAAAAATATTGAAATGAATATTTTTGATAATTTTTCATATATTAAAAATTTATATATAAAATTTAATACCCCTATGCCCTCAAGTGCTAGTGTCGAGAGATTATTTAGTAAAGCAAAGCTTATACTTTCTGATCGTCGCTCTAGACTTGGGGATGATAATATTGAAATGATATTATTATTAAAATGCAACAAATTAAATAAATATTTATTTATATTGCTTATTTTTTTATAATCTAAACTAACTATATTTTTATATTTATAAATGTTGATTTTTATATATCATTTATTATACATTTACATTATAAGCAAAAAAAAAATAAAAAAAATTTGTTTCATTTGTTTCTAAATTTTTTTTTATAAAAAGTAGCTTAAAAGTAGCTAATAGCGCACTACTTTTTTTGACAAATAGCGAAAGCGGTAGCGCGCTACTTTTTTTGACAAATAGCTATTACGGTAGCGCGCTACTTTTAAAAATAGCGTTTAACAACTCTGGCTATAACGAGTTCGCGATCAAAGTTTCGCTAAAATGTATACGCTCTAAAGTATTCGCGGTTTAGGTTTCGCGGAAATAAATTCGCGATAATGAGTTCGCGATCAAAGTTTCGCCAAAATGTATTCGCTATAAAGTATTCGCGGTTAAAGTTTCGCGAAAATAAATTCGCTATAAAGAGTTCGCGATAAAAGTTTCGCTAAAATGTATTCGCTATAAAGTATTCGCGGTTACGGTTTCGCGGAAATAAATTCGCTATAACGAGTTCGCGATCAAAGTTTCGCTATAATGTATTCGCTATAAAGTATTCGCGGTCATGGTTTCGAGGAAATAAATTCGCGATAATAAGTTCGCGATATTGTCTTCGCTATAAAAGTTTCGCGGAAAAAAATTCGCGGAATTGGTTTCGCGATATTGCCTTCGCTATAAAATTCCTTCGCGATAAACGACATTCGCGATAAAAGTTTCGCGAAAAAGTGTTTCGCGATAAAAGTTTCGCTGAATTGACCTGATACGAAACCAATTACCCTAATATAGTTTTATTTTATTTACCAACTTATACTTCTCATTAAAATCAAGTTATCGTGGGGAATTCTGCTTAACTAGTCTAATATTTTTAAATTTAATTGAAAGTTATATTTTTTCGAAAAATATTGAAGTATATAACTACGATGGCTGGATAGAAAGATCTAATCAATATAAAAAAATTACCAAATATTTATTAAAATAATGTTAAAATAATAGATAATGTAATATAAGTGCGAAGACATTACGAATAGGAAATTTCTTTTCAATTGCACTTGTGAGATATTACTTTAAAGTATTACGTCTACATGACCGATGGGCAGGGGTCATTTGCCTTGATATACCTTTAAGGGGGTAAGAGATAGGCTCCTAAGGGATAGTGAGTAAAAATACTTCAGGGGTTATGTGGTTAAATCTAGGTATTTTCTACAATTTCTATGTCTCAAAGGTGCTTTAGCCTTATAATACTTATATGCATGCATACACACTAAATATTTTTATTATTTGCCAAAATATCCTTTATCATTTGTTATTTACAACTTTATAAATTAAACCTAATTCAAAAAAATGGCGCTCAGTGCACCCTTAAAAACTTGAATCCTCTCTCCATTTTGCAAAATTTATCCAAATAAGTATAAATATAATAACAACAAAAAGGAGTTATTTCTACCATAGCCAGCGTTTTTAATAGGAGGTTCTAAAGTGAGTCAATTTTTGGAAAGTATTTTAGGAGTGGGTAAATTAAAATTTAAGCCTATATTGTTTATACTTTTTTTGTTCCTCATTCTATGATGAAAATATATTTCCTATTAAATATTATATAATAATTTAACTAGGTATTAATATTGTTATTAGGCAAAATATAGTAAATTAAAGAATTAAAATGAAATAAACCTACCTTACATGCATCTTTATCCACTTCGCCGCCAGCACATAACATATTAGTTGTCAATCTTTGGTTCAGATAATCTTTGCTATTACAGAGATTGAAGTCTAAAATAGGCAGATTTAATTCATTGAGAACAGATTCTTTTCCTTTACCTTTGATAAAAAAAATATAAATTAATTTGAAGGTAAATTTAAATTGAATTAGCAATGATATTTGCAATAAAATTGCTTTTAGAGCATATAAATGCTGATTTTATTTTCTATTTTAAAAAAATATATGAGATTATATAACGCGTTTGTGGCATGTTGATTCCATGGATAAGTTATACGTTACATTTATAAATGTAAAAGATATTACACATTCAGAAAATATTTGCATTTTTATTCCACTTTAAATCAACCAAAAACGTCGACTTTTAAACTGATCTCTCGATTTTTATATTTTATCAAATGATAGAAAATATAAACTACAATTTTAACTCTGTATTGAATAGACCTACTTATAGCGTTAAAAAAAGATCTGCACGGTCCAACCAAAAGATTGCTAGTAGCAAAAAATTAGGTTGGGCCCAGCCGAGCAACCTGCAAAATATTTTTTGAATCGGAAGGACAATTTCTGCAAAGATTTTCCACCCAGCCCTGAATTTTCAAACAAATTTTGAGGGCAAGATATTTTTTAGGGGGCTAAAAAATTTGTTAAAATTTAGGATGGGCGGATTCGGGCTTGGTTGTGCTTATCTTTATTAGTAAAGTGAATAAAATATTTTTTTCTCTGTTTTTATTTTATATTTAAAATTTAATCATTTAATAAAATAAGACCTTGAACATCTCCAAACCCGGTTACATAACAGAACGAGGATGTCAAAATCGTGTCTTTATTAGAAATTAAGCATATGGGTGAGATAAACTTATTAAAATCTACTGGTTTGTCCATTTTGATCAGAACGATATCGTGGTCATACATTTTGCCTTAAAAATATTGTTAATTGATATTTTCTTTAAAATTAAATATAAAAAATTAAATAAAAATTTAAAATAATATTTTTTATTTTATTTTTCATATTTACTGTCTTATAACAAATAAATATTTATATAATTAATATATATTTATAACTAGATAATTAAAATATAAAAGACTAAATTTCACATAATCGTACAATTTAAAAATTCTATTTATTAATTTTTTGAATAAAACACAATATATATTAATTAAAAATAATCATCTTGTGGGATGAGGCTACCCATGAAGTTAGTGTAAATAGCCTTATGAATAGATATGGCGAGTCTTTGTCTCAAGAAAAAGCCTTTATGAGGTTCTTCCGTAGGTTTACGAATGTGAGAGCCAATTTCCTTGAAAAAGGATAAAACGCGATCCCCAAAAGTATTTAAGGTGGTGGTAATTATAGGAATGAATATATGTTCTTATGAAATTTCTGAATATTTTGCTATTTTATAATTGCTCCTTTTTCTTAAGGATGTTAATGATTGGAAAGAGCTAATGGATCAATGCACGAGGAATCCCAGATCAGAAATTGACCTTGTTTCTAAAGTAATTTGAGAAATTCTAACTGTTGCCCATCAGATCTGAAAAGTCCTGGCGCTTCAAAAATAGATGGAATTTGAGCTGATCTTAAAATTCTAAGGATAATCGAATTACATAAATTTTGTTTAACCGACCTTTACAAGAACGAAAATGTAGGCTATATCTTACATTACCCTTTACGGTAAAACTGCAACCAGAGCATGTGTGGGGTTGGTTTATTAAACAGTTTAAACGAATATCAATGGGAGTGAGCTCTTCTGCCCAATCATTACTGGAAGTAGGTGATATTCATTAAAAAAAATTGGAAATTCTAAAATTTAAAAACCAATTTATTTAAAATAATTTTAGATAAAAATTACATTTAATTAGTTATAAATCAATATCAGTCGATTTTTGTAATTATAACAATAATTAAATATTCATATTATATGTTTTAGATAAATTTAAAATTTCTTTTTTAAATTATAAAAGGCTTTGAAGTTTTATTTTATTTTAAAATGTAAAGTTGAAATTAGTAACCCTTTTATCGATACCTTTTTATGTAAATAGTGTTTTAAGAAGTTTTTGTTTTCCATTCTATTATTCTTCATTATCAAATTAATTCAATTATTTTGTATACATTTGATTATATAATATTTGCGTAGTTAAAATTTGAGATTTAGGGTTAAGGAAATACAATAATCAATGCATTGGCATAATTATTCTGAGGGAAGGTAGAAATGATTTCGCATCCCAAAATTAGAATGTAAAAAAAAATTGTCTTCCTCTATCAGCTTTTTTCTACACTTTAATTAATTTCTATATTCATAAAATCTTATTTATACATTAACCAATAAGTTCGAGCTACTATCTAAATTTCTTGCAAGGTGAAATTTTATTCCACTTATTATGGACTTATCTATTCCCTTAATAATTAAAGTGGGAAATGAGGAGGTCCAACATTGTGATCGAAAAAAACGACAGTACTTTCAACGTCTTTTAAGCGTTAGAAATCTATGAGATAAATTAGTTCCATTTCCAAGGTTTGCCAACATGATTAGCTGTTATACGGTGAAGCAAGGTATGATATCCAAAAAATGGAAAAGGGCAAAGCTATGGGACAGGGGGTTATGTGCAACTATTAGATGTATGTACGAAGATTTCGCTTTACTGATTAGAACGGCGGTCGTAGACTCAAGGGCGTTTCCCATAGAAGTCAGACTGCAGTAAGGATCAATTTAAGCCCTTACCCATACCCGAAAGTTGAAAAAGTTTAGCTCCCTTGGAGCTACGATATATCAAGACGGATGTTATCATAACAAAGTCACAGCTAGGATGAAGAAAGGTTGAATAAAATGGAGAAGCCTTTCAGAGGGTGCTTCGAAACAGGTACCACTGTGGCTTAAAAGTAAGGCCCATTGAGCTCCTTTATATAGTATATTTAATTATCTAACAAGAAGAAAGTTAATATATAAATTTTCAATTATAACCTTTTACATTTATTTAAATATTAATATAAAAACAAATAATATAAAATTATAAATAAAAGACCATTAAAATATAAAGTATTACTATATGTGATAGATTATTTTTTGTTGAATTCGATTCCAAATTCCTTCATATATAACAATTGTTAGTATAATAGTATTATTAATAGGTAAGTTATAATGTAATATATAATGTTAATACATTTTAGTATATTATATGATTAAATACATTTATTTAGTTTAATAAGGCCTGTTGTAATGTAATATTTGAAGTTAATCCATTATTGAAATTATGATTACAAATTAAAACTATAAGGTCAATTAGCCCCATATAATGTAAATTATAGTTTTTTAAATTAAAATTATAATTACGAAAGACTAGTATAGAGAGCTATATTGATTTCCACCACCCCCTTCCCCACTCCTTATTTATGAATTGTTGGCATAATAATTATTGTTATTTCATCCTTTTCCCCCTATAACATACATTTTTTTCTTCTCATTTTTTTAAAATTTTGTACCTTATATTTTAATGGTCCTTTATTTATAATTTTATATTGTTTCGCGGCTATAAATAAAACATTTAAATTATCGTTAACTGTAAAAGTTAATATAATGGAAAATTTATATATTAACTTCTTCTTGTTAAATAATTAAAAATTCTATATAAATGATATTTAATTTTTTTTTTTACTTTCAAAATTATGTTATTGGATTTAATAAAGATACTTCTGATATTCCTAATTCTGAGCTATTTCCTACATATATTAATGTTTCAATAATATTCTTCCCATATAAAATAAGTAAGCGAACACATCATCATGTTTCATCATTTTATGGAGCAAGTAGCACTTTTTTTCTTTCATTAATTTTTTCTATGAAATTTTATCAGGTATTAACGTTGATATTATTTCATACTAAAGGTATAATAAAGGTAAGCCTAATGACCAATATTAAAAATTTGTTTTCCTCGATATCAATTCATAATGGTTTCTCCGATATTTTAGCCACAGGTCACAAGTATCTCTATTTCGTACTCTTTCATCGAATAAGATGGTTTTCATACAAAAATTACAAAATATTAACCATATGGATTAGAGCCATGTAGAAACCCTGCCCATTTCTTAGATTAGTATAATTCCTATCCACCCGAAGTAAGATTAGGCCGGGTCAAACTTGTTTAACATATATCAGACAGGGATCTGGACCTAGCTTTATTGTTTAATCTACAATTATTTGGAAAACCGAACAAAAAAATTCCCAGATCCGTCCTAACCTACAAAATCTTAAAGCAAATATTATCCAAATCCTCCCACTAATATTTCTTAAAAATTAAATTAACAACCAATCTCATATATAAAATATTGTTATACCTTACTTCCTATTCCTATTTACCTTAAAACCAAGCATCAAATTGGAGGGATGGGACGGAGTGTTTTGCATTCCTAAATTAAAAAATTGACAACTTTAAAGATTCTATTTCTATGCACCCTAAGTGTATTTTTAAAAAATTTGGATGGATCAAAAGTTGATAAACCATTTTAATAAATAAAAGTAAATGTAGTCTTTTCAACACCTTTATCAAAGCCCCATATATAAAAATAGAACTTTTAAGCATCTTTAAGTAAATAAACCAGTTATGCCTCTATTTTTACTTATGCCATAATCTTTGTGATAAATGATATCCTCTATTCTTCTAATTTGTTCATTTTCATGTTTTTCCGTTTTCGATACCGTTCCCAGATGAATTGTAAATTGTGTATAGTCCAATGAGCTTAAAAAATAATAATATTTGGAATACATATACCTTGGTTAAAAATATAGTCAATATTTTATATAATAATCCAGGTTTTTGGACGATACTTTTTAGTTAAAGATCACACAGTCAATTTATGGGTCTTATTAAAGTAATTTAAATATATGTGTTAAATTTATTTGATCAGTTCGCTTAAAATTTTACAAAAGAAAAAATAATTCTGTTAGAAAGTTTTAAGATGAATGAACAGTAATTATTTATCTTCTATTCTATTTCAAAATAAAGAAGGTTTAAAGTTTTATCGTTTTTAATTGCTAAAAGCAGTAATTATTCATCTGCTATTCTATATTTATTATTAATATTTTTTTAAGTGGTAAACTTAAAATACATATTTAATTAAATTGGTGCTAACGTTTGTAAGGTTTTAGTGATATCATAACTAATTTATTGTTCAATCATTAAACTCCAAGCTAACCTTTAATTAAATTTTTTTCATTTGAGTTAATTCTAGGGTATTAGACTAGAATTTTTTTACAAAATATAATAAGGGTTAGGTTTGAAAATAAAATACCCGGGTAGAAAAATAAAAAATTTAAATAATCCGAGCCGCGTACCAAACTATTTTTTCCACTACTACCTCTTCAGAACTCTGATAAATGTAAAAAATTATGAATAAAAATATGACCTTCGTCCCAGTCCAAAGTAGAACTCGGGGCTAAAAATTTAGCCCGAATTCAAATTAATAAATTATTTTAGACCAAATTTTAAAAAAAATAGAAATAGTTTTTTTTTTATTTTATCAAAATATGTTTAATTTATATTTTCAATTCAAATTTTTCAGCTGAGCTTCGGCCTATAAGAAAAACAATTCCAACTGAGCCAGGATCGGGATAAAAAATAGCTTGGGCGAAATCGGGCTAAAAAAATTGAATTTTAGCTCTTAGTATACATATATAAGCCGAATTATTTATAATAACACTATTACATTATTTAACTGTATTTGACCAGTCATTATTGTTTGCCAAACCTGAAATCTCATTAGTTTTAGAAAATTACCAACTCATATCATAATATAAATATATTCTATGTTTTTTACTACCTCTTTGTTCTGTTTACCCTTGTATTTTGACTGATTTTATCTCTGATAAAACAATGTTGAGCAGATATAATCCAAATGTCATTTATCAGCGAACCCCCACATCCGTGCCTGCCTCTCATTCTAATACTTACTTGCCAGGGCCAGGCTCCAGGAGGAGAGGGCATCCCGCCTACTATTCTCTGACTATTAATTGTATCGTATCGACTTTTGGAAACATTGTAATACCAAAGATAATCAAATATTTCTTTATTAGACTTCTCACTATATTCCTCTATGTCGGAAGCTAGTTCATCATCTTTCACAATGTCGTATCTATTTGAATTAGAAGAAGCTCTTTCATAATTGAAATTGCTCCCATTACTATTAAAATCTTTGGTTTCTTCTATGTTTGAATTTGAAGATGCCAATTTAAATAAGGATCTTCCTTCCGCAATTTTGTTAAAAGATATATTAACATAACTTCCTTGTGGAAAATTTGTGGTAGTTAAAAATTTGTCCAATTTTGCGTAATTTTCCCTATCATTTTCAGTGATTGAGACTCTCCCACATATATCTTCGAGGTTTTCTTTAGAATTTTTAGGAGAATGGGTCGCTTTGGAAAAATATTTTGTTCTTTCGGTTTTAGACAAGGTTATACGCATGATTTTAAATTGTGGGTTAAAGCTTTCCTTTTTATGTGAATTTGATGAAATTTTGATTTGACTAAGCGTGACCTGATGATTAGCTATAATATTTCTTAAATATATTCATGATTTATAACCATTAATTAATATATTACTTAACTTTACCATATAAATATTTTAGTTAAACGGAAAGAATTATCTGAAAATTTAAATATAGTTTAAAAAGAATTTTTAAGATAATAAAAAATCTATTAATAAATGAATGTATACTGTATTCTTTGAAACTCTTTATATAAATAGTAATATAATAGTAAGATAAACTATAGCTATATTTGTTGTAACGGGTTAGCCCGTCAATTCTAGTTACTGATATATAATTAACCTTTTTGGAATCCAGATTGTGATACAGCTATTACTTGTTCCCACGTTAAAGAAGCCAACAATATCATTGTAATTATTTTATAACGACTTGTAGGAGTCATTAAATAAAGGAATCTTTAAAAATTTAAATAATATAAAAGTTTTATAAATGAATAAAAATAATAAAATACAAATATGGTTTTATAATATATTTATTTTACTCTTGAAATCGTAAATTTCAAGGTCGTCTACATTGTATTAACATTGTTTCTATTTGTAAATTATAAATTATTATATAGCATATGCGATTAATTATAAAGGAGATATTAATCAAAAGCTATTGTTATCATTAAAAAATATTAGTTGTATTTGTATAATATCTTAATTGTCATACACAGAAACGATAATTTGGGATAAATTAATTTCATAAATTTTTAAAAAATTTTATAATATTAAAACCACTCAGATTTTTATTTTTTTTATACTAATAGAAAATACAATTCTTTTAGCCCACCCCCCATATTCTTATAAACATTCTTATTATATCCATATCGCTGCCATATGCATGCAACCTGGTCTGGCAAGGATATCCTACTCCATTGTTGCTATAACTACAGGTTCTAACCTTTATAGTTTGAAGTAGCTATAAATTATTCAGAAAGTAGTTACGATTCTTGTAAGAGATGGCAGGGTAGCTTTTACCATTAGATTTTTGAGAGATTTTAATATTCCACAACATATTGCATAATGATTTTCCTGTAAATAAATTTGACCACCATATAATAAGGGTCATGAAAAATACTTAGGGCACAAAGAAATTTTAGGCAGCATTCAAAGCAAAGTTTTAAGATAAATTTTTTTTTTCTTTTAAGATTTCACTTTTTTTCTGGTGGTAAGCTCCTTCAATATCTCTTTACTCATGCTATCTCTTTTTATCTAATTTATATATCTGATATCCCACCAGAGTATCGCTATCAGCCATTGTATCTAAATCTCACACCGAAGTATTAATATTGACAGATATCCCATTGGAATATTCTTATCGATTCCATTATAATCTTGATCTCCCACCGGAGTATCATTTGATAGATCTCCCTCCGGAGTATCGTTATCAAGTCCATTGAAAATTTATAGACATTGTACTTGAACGTCCCTGAAGTTACCATTATCCTAGAGCTGTACAAGAGATCGCTATCATCCTTGAATGACCACTAGTTCAGCTGACTATTTATTGGACAAGTATCCTAGCACCCGGCTGTCCAAGCCTCTCGATGACCCGGGTGGTATTTCTCAGCTCAGAAATTAATCTTATCATATATCTTTGCACATCAGTCATCTAAGAAAAGCCTGAAAATTTTTACCTTTTTTTACCAGAATTGAACCTTGGACCTTGAGGTTTCCAAGCATATATCATACACCACTAGGCCATCCCTGCGATTCTCCAGATAAATATAATAATTAATTATTATTTTTATGGATGAATTAAGAGCATAGAATGGGATGTTCTATAACTTTCTTCAAAATTTCTAGAGGAGTGTATCGAAAAATTCAGGGGCGTTATGAAGGCTATTCATTGGCAGGGATCCAAACCGAACCTGAACCGAACTTAAACCGCTAAAAAAATTCTATCTGAACCTGAACCGAACCGCTAAAATGCCTCTGAGCCGGTTCAAGCCTCATGATTTTATTCTTATAAAATAATATTTTATTATTAGTATATTGAAAAATTTCAATTATATTCGAATTATTTTAAAGATTAGCATCGATCACATTTGATTGATAAGTGTCGGTCATAATTTTTATAAACTTTAGTATATTGTCATTTTACAACATTTTTTAAATATTTTAAGCTAAATTATAATGCTTAGAGAAAAATTAAATCCAAAATATTATTATAAACGACACATCAAATCTGATATCATATTGGCAATGTCGGCTATTAGTGTGGAAAGATGCTTTTCAACAATTAAATTATACTATCTTCTTATAGACAGGCGCGTACGCAGGAATTTGTGCTGGCGGGGGGGGGGGGGGGGGGTAATAAATTTTTTTAAGAAATATTTTTGTTAATTAAAAATACTAATACACAATTTTAAACTAATGTGAATTAAAAAATTATATTATATAAACCGGCATTGAAAAGCTATAAAATAAATGTGAAATATAAAATATAAAGTGATTATAACCCACGATATGAATCACTTAAATGACCCAAAATTGAAAATTAAATTTTTTGAGCTTTTAAAATATATAAAGTATAAAAAATTTAAATGTTGGAAATATAAATTAATACACAAAAAGTTTCTTAGGAATAATTGTATTTTGTATGTTTTGAGCTAATTTTTCAATTATCTATCCTTGCTTGGCGTTAAATACCTTTGAATATTCAAAAGATCCAAATCATTCAATCCACTTTCAGATGTTGTATTTCATAGATATGTTTTTCACAGATTTGCAGGCCTGGCCCCCGAGCCGGACCGTATTTTAATTTTTTTAAATATACCCGAGCCGGACCCGTAATTTTTTTTTAAAAAAACACCCGGGCTGGGACTGAAATTTTTTTAGAAAAAATATCCGGGCCGAGCTGTATATTTTAAAACCAAGTATTTGAAATCGCCATTATTAGCTATAAAAATCAAAAATATAAAAAAATTCGGGCCGGGCCTGGGCCGGGCCTGAAAATTTTTTTAAAAAAAACCCGGGCCGGAAAAACTTTTAAAAAAAATCTGGACCATGTCTTGCAAATGGTACCTTTGCAAGGCTCTGTTATTCTTCTTAAAAAAGAGAATGTTCTCTCATTAGTTAACTAAAGAGCTGCTAATATATATATAACCATTTTAATACATTGGGAGTATAATCTAAAATGTGTTTGAAATAATGCAAAGCATCCATAGCATTTTTTGGGACTGTATCAACCATAGTTAATCTTTTAATCATAGTTATTCAGCTAATAAGGCAACATAAGATATTTTAACATCTTCTTGATAAAATCTAACAAATATTTATATATTTTTTCTATCACCATATGAAAAAGGTTGGGAGAGGGGACATTTGTTTTATAATACTCTTCTACTGATCCTATATTAATGTTTTGACGATGAGCTTGTTTGCTGCAAGTCGATGGGGACAAATATTAAACACGTATAGCTCTGCTTTTGACTCAACAATAACATATAAAATATGAAATTCTTCATCAACATTAGCTCTAATTTTCTTGAGTTCTAATAAAATGCTCCCCGCTATTCTCATCTTCTTAATCAAGTCAATGTTATGTTTTTGAAAAGTATTACATAAAATAGTTGTATAATTAAATAATACATTCTAATGAGAAAAAAAAATTGGAATAAGTATTGAATCCAATAATTTTTTTGCTTCTGAGAAAATATTTCTTTCAAGCCATTGTGATATTTCAGTAATAGCATTAATAATCGGCTCTTCTAACTCCATAATAGCTATTACTGTTTGTGGTGGAGACTCGATCTCGTTGAACAAGCTTGCAATTTCTTTCTCCCTGTTGGACAAAGCATTGGCGTACGCAGCGGGGGGGGGGAGGGGGGACAAATCTTCCTCCAAAGCCAAAAAATGCAGATGCCGGATTATATTTTTCAAAAATATTATTGTTAATATTATTTATATTTGTTAATATTTATTAATATCTCATATATATATATATTTAATTACATTTATTTATCACATTCATCTACTAAGTTATTTTATCAATTAATTTCGATTTCAAGTTTTCCTTGGCGTAATTTACCTGTTATTTAAAAATTTTAGTGGCGTAATATTTATCTAAATTTCTAGTTAAATAATAATTATCTCTGAAACTCCTTGTCCAACAGGGAGAAAGAAATTGCAAGCTTCTCCAACGAGATCGAGTCTCCGCCATCAAGCAGTAACAGCTTTTATGGAGTTAGAAGAGCCGATTATTAATGCTATTACTGAAATATCACAATGGCTTGAAAGAAATATTTCCTCAGAAGCAAAATTATTGGATTTAATACTTATTCCAAATTTTTTTTCTCATTAGAATGTATTATTTAATTATACAACTTTATGTAATACTTTTCAAAAACATAACATTGACTTGATTAAGAAGATGAGAATAGCGGAGACATTTTATTAGAACTCAAGGAAATTTGATGAAGAATTTCATATTTTATATGTTATTGTTGAGTCAAAAGCAGAGGTATACGAGTTTAATATTTGTTCCCTCGACTTGCAGCAAGCAAGCTCATCGTCAAAACATTAATATAGGATCAGTAAAAGAGTATTATAAAACAAATGTCCCCTCTCCCAACCTTTTTCATATGGTGATAGAAAAAAAATATAAATATTTGTTAGATTTTTATCATGAAGATGTTAAAATATCTTATGATGCCTTATTAGCTGAATAACTATGATTTAAAGATTAACTATGGTTGATACAGTCCTAAAAAATGCTATGGATGCTTTCCATTATTTCAAACACATTTTAGATTATACTACAATGTATTAAAATGGTTATATATATTAGCAGCTCTTTAGTAAACTAATGAGAGAACACTCTCTTTTTTAAGAAGAATAACAGAGCCTTGCAGAGGTACCATTTGCAGAACAGGGCCCAGATTTTTTTTTTTAAATTTTCCGGCTCGGGTTTTTTTTATTAAAATTTTCACGCCCGACCAGGCCCGGCCCGAATTTTAAAATAAATTATATCTATTTTTGATTTTTATAGCTAATAATGGCGATTTCAAATATTTGGTTTTAAAATATACAGCTTGGCCCGGATATTTTTTCTAAAAAAATTTTCAGGCCCGGCCCGGGTGTTTTTTTATAAAAAAATTACGGGCCCTGCCCGTGTATATTTAAAAAAATTAAAATACGGTCCGGCTCGGGGGCTGGGCCTGCAAGTCTGTGAAAAACATACCTTTGAAATACAAAATCTGAAAGTAGATTGAATGATTTGAATCTTTTTAATATTCATAGGCATTTAACGCCAAGGAAGGATAGATAATTGAAAAATTAGCTCAAAACATACAAAATACAATTATTCCTAAGAAACTTTTTGTCAATTAATTTATATTTCCAACATTTAAATTTTTTATACTTTATATATTTTAAAAGCTCAAAAAATTCAAATTTCAATTTTGGGTCATTTAAGTGATTCATATCGTGGGTTATATTCACTTTATATTTTATA